AGGGAAACGAAGCCGGGATACCCCAAGGTCGGCGGATTTGAAAATCGATGGAAAATCCAAAAGAGGCCAAACAAGTACTTTTGACGTCGCCTCAGATGCAATCATGCTAGACCCTGCGTATAATCCCTCCACCAGGTCATGGGCTCCACAAGCTGAAGCTTATGATCCGAACATGTATGTCCGGAGCTTGGGTATTGAACATCCTTTTCTGGGAAAACAGGAGAAGTGCAAGAAATCGTATTCCACAATTTGGGCACAATCTTTGAGCCGTACCTCAACTTCGCAGACTGCCACATGTCAAGAAGCCATCCTGTAGTAATTGCAGTTGACTCACTGTAGGTCTTGCCTGAATGGAGCCCCCCTCTCTTGAATTCGTCTCGCATGCAGCGACGAGGGCATGGCGTGTACTACAGATATGCGACCAAATGCTGTTGTCATACACATAGGAATATTGTACGTTCCCGGCATCATACGTACAATCCTCATAAGCACTTCCTAAAGTCTCGGACAGACTCCCAATGTGCTAGTCATGCAAGGCTGAGTCAGGTACTGGAGGTCCTTTTGTGTCGCTGCTCTGATGAAGAAAGTGTGTTTTTTCAAGCTTCCCCTACAAACCGTCCCAATGCTGAAGGACTAGGTCCTGCTGAGCAGTTTGTGTACTAAGGAGCGTATAAATTCAGGTTCGCGTCGGCTTGTATAGTTAAGCTGTTCCGCGTAGTCAGTATGTTTTGCACGCAAGAAGAAGTTCGCGCTGCAAAGAGTTTGCTATGCCCTAGCAATGCCGTGTAGTCCACATGGGCAACACAATGGCAAGAGTGTGTTCTTGTAGCCTGTTCCGCAGGGTAAACAGCAATCCGCGTAGTTCGCATAGGCATTCTATGTTAATTCGTACTAGAAGCTTAGCTGTAAAACATCGTTTGTCTCTGAGAACTACTCGCATGCCAATGCAGGTTGCGCATCCGATGGAAACAATGGTGCGACTCTCTGATGAGAGTAGGGTGATTTTGTCGCCTAGGAGAGAATGGAGCAGTCATGATTGTTAGATACAGGGGTGGTGCGTGTGCTGGAAGGCATGTGGGGCTCGTGTGTAGCTTGCCGTCTAAACATGAGAGAAGTTACCTCTGGCATTCAGGGTTGACAAGACTGAAAAAGAAGTTAAGACAACAGACAATTGAAATGGTAGAAACATTGACGCTAGTAGCGCATGAGGATCTGGAGAACATACTCGTTGCAGCAGAACCGTCCTTGGCATTAGGTTCAACTGAGCAGCGCAGAGACGAGTAACAATTGAAATATGTTTCGCTTGCACCTCCAATGCTGCATGTGCGAATCATTACAAATACGCACCAAAACAGTACTTTTTGTTTGAGTCTTGGGAATCTAAAGCTCCTCTTAAGGATTGCATCAGGCATGGCTTGATACCTTCCACATCATGATTGATCTCATGTAGCATCCGGTTGCCTAGAGACAGGAACCACACAGTTCGACTGAGTTAACGGGCCAGGTACCCGCGATGTCTCCGCCACCTGTGCTGCTTGGGCCGCTATGGGACATTCTCAATATCATACCAGTCATACTCACTCTATGGCCCTACGGTCCTCACATGTCCCTCGGGTCGCTCCCCAGGTTTTTCTTGGATATTTAGCACGTCGGGCTTCGGGCTGAGGGTTGTGATTTTTTCTGTTTTGCATTGACACAGAATGCTACGAAACTTCTCAAGCCACTGCTGCAACGTACCACAACTCCAGCCTCTCACGTCGGGGAACCTAGAATTTCTTGCCGGTCGGGGTTATGTGGATTTTGGACATTCCAGTCTTAACACTTACGACCTTGATTTTTGGAGTGTGAATTTGGGAAATTACTACCCTAAACCCCTAAACCTCGGGGTTTGCGTGCCAAGGCCAACTATGGCCCTGGCCCCCGAGACGCCTTGCCGTATGCGGCCTGTGAGCTTTGAAGACAAGCAGACGCCGCCGCCCCTGCCCTTCGAGATGCAGGCAGGGATTTTGAGGCAGCTCATTTTTTTCATACGCTATTTGGTGGGTGTGTGTATATATATATATATAGACGGGATGCTTGGGTGTCCAATCCATGGGTGCTGATTCCTTCCTCGATAAACTATGGGCTCAATCCACGTATTGCTTGAACACTTGGACCAGTAGGGTTTGAGGTTTAGGGCTTAGCTCTTAGGACCTCAGGTTTGGGTTAAGGATTTAGATGTATAGTCCAGGGACCTCTGGGCGAGTTTATGTTCCTCTGAGCTGGATGTAGCAAAGGTTTGCAGCGCCGTGGGATCTGCAGGTTTAGGGTTTAGGGTTTCGTTTCAAGATGTTGGGATCTGGAATTTGAGCCCTTGACCCTAAGCGTTGTCACACACAGCTTACTGATTTTCGCCTTGAACCTCAACTTCGACTTACCCTCTGAAATTTGAGCACTTGTTAGGAGTTTGGGCTTTTGTATTCCCCCCACCGAGTCAGCACATTGAGCAGAACTCCAGGGCAATTCCGATGGTTTCCACCAGTTCCAGATTGGTCAGCTTGGCGTGGTCAGCGAAGAGTCGGGCGCGTCTGCAGCCCCAGAGTTCAATCCTGGTGGATATCATTAATGATTTCATTTGTATTCAATCGTTTTCCTTGTTTTCTTTTCAGAGCTGTGGTGCTCACTGCTACTGTTAGTATGCAGAATCTTTTTTCAGCTCATGGCTTGGGGTTTGGGGCTTGGAGAGACATGCGCAAAGAGTTTCCAGGTGAGACCTGCCATGATAGGATTCAAGGCTGCGTCCCGCAGTTCTGTAGCCAGACTTTGAACTGCCGTGCCATGACGACCCCCGTTCACTGATTAGAACTTCACTTCCAGCCACATGATATATGTCTTGCTAGATGAGGCCTGCCAATTAGAGAATGGCTCTGTAGTGCACCAAGCGACCAACACTGGAAGGTTTTTGGTTCCCGTACGTCTCCCTTTAACCGCATGGGTCGCCGAAGGAAACACCTGCCCTCGAAGAGGGTTCATCATATCGGTCGGCGCATGACATACATATGGCCACGCAATGAACGCTTCCCTGAGCCTTCGGCACATCTGAATGGTACACGTAGAACGTGTAACAAGAGCCGACACCACTCATGGATGGATTCACGGTTGCAGCAGCGGCCCAGGTGTGAAAAGGTGAGACTCACGTACGAGGACTGTCACAGACTCCATTTAGAAGTGCGGCAGCATCGGCAGCATTCACTTGCCAGTACTTGCTATAGGCTGTTGTGAGGACTGCTTAAGGTCGTGTAGTGGCACTGAAAGCTGGTCTCTAGATTTTAGAGGGTAGCATTCCGGGATACGTGCTCTGTTCCGCAGGACTCAAATGAGAGCTGTCTGCAAAGTGCAAATCTTTGCTTTACCCTCAACATATCTTGAGAGTACAGCAGAGACCCTCCATTTTAATACGTTTTGTTGGTGATGCAAGGGACCAAGGGAACTAGAACGCATCCATCGGTTTGTCAGGAATGCATCAAACAGCGATACATGTGGTCACCCAATTTTCGAGCAAGATGTGATCTATGTTTCGGCTGTAGTATCATACCACAAAGATAAATCCGGGAAACTTCTTCAACTCCGAGTGCTGCAGGACCCGGCATCGCCGCGCCGCTGTGATTCACTCCTGGCAATTCCAAAGGACGCAGCGGCATGCGTGTTCTAGGATCATAAAGTTCAGCATCAAGTGATGAATCCGCCCGCCCCAACTTATGTTGGAATTAGATTCCAGACGGATACGATCTTTGTTTTCGGTTTGCTTTTTTTGGCGCTGGTAGCTGGAGACCTGCAAGAATCCTCTGCGTGTTTGGATTTCCTACGCTTCAGTTTGTTCCCCTTTTCGGGCAAAACGGATGTTGGATGGTGTGCACCGACAGTACAAAAAATAGAAGGACATGGCTTGCCGTCATGTGGAGGCATTACTAAGATGTCGAGGGGCTTAACACCTTCTCTCAGAAAGGCAGAGGGGACAGGGAGCAGGGAATGCAAAGAAGGAGGAAGAACGAGAACTCGAAGCAATGCGCTTCTGTTGCTTTTTTGAGAAATATTGAAGGTAACCTGAAATAGCCATTGCTCGCGCAAATTAGTTGTTAACCTTTGAACATGCATTAGTCATGAAAGCTATGGCATTCCAAAATATTGGCAGCGGTTCCGTTCTGCCTCGGCTTCCTCATGCAAGCCCCCTGCCCATCCACCAACCATCCAGGCCGGTTCACGGCCGTTGATATGAGCGACGGACTAAATTTCCGTCTCTTGACACATGGCTAACGTCGGTCAGAATTCCTCGAACTCATGCGTTTAACCTGTGAAACGAGATGGTCCCCTCCAAATAACGAGATCAGCATTTTTGTGTTTGATTGCAAATTTGTTGGAGAACAAGATTCAAGGTCCGACTCAAGTGCTGTCAAACGAGATAGTAGTAGATTTGGTCAGTTGGTCTCAAGCCTAGTGGGAACGAGATGGTCCCCCCCCAACATGCTCCGGAGTATATAAAACGTATTAAAACCTGATGCAACATGGCAGCACAAGGGTGGGAATTTTGACCATAGGCCAGAACAGTTTTTGTCCGCTGCTCATACGCGACAGTCAAAATTTCCAGCCATTAGATCATGTCTCGAGTGGACATGACTTTAGTGCCTGACGCTGCAAACCCTCTAAAACGATGGAGGAGACAAACAAAACCATAACCATGATGCAGCGAGCCGTGCTGCTTCAGACGTGTTACGTAGTCATCCTTGTGAACAAGGCGAAAATGCTGAAAAACGATAGGGGAGACAATTAAATACGAATTCCCCAAGCCCATGTCCATCAGCCAGGCATGGAATTTCGACAGTAGCTCATATGAGCATGGCTAGCAAGCCTACGAACCCTTCTTCAGTAATTTCACAGCACCTACCGTTGGTCGGACTGTTGACTGTTTGTTTCGTACTTTATGCCTAATATTGTCATGTATATCGCTGTTGGTGCCTTACTTGCTTACGACTTGGGTTGCTACAACTTGTGTTGACTCTTGCCCATAGATGCAATTGCCATGTAGTTCTTGTCATCCACTCTTATTACTGACATTCTCACAGAGGGACTTTCTACTGTAAGGCCAGTACCCATTGCGGTCATCGTTTGGTCACGTTTCTTGTGGTATTGATTTGATTGTAGCATGTCTCGAAAGTGCGGTGCTTACATTCAGCTTCATGTTTTGACGGCATGTTCTCGAACATTCGCTGCAAGAGCTAGTACATTCCTGCTACAATCATGTTGATTGTTTATACCTCATGTAAATTGCTTCTCTCTGCTTAGCCATATTTATTCGTGGTGTATTCTGACATTGACCAGCTGAAGCCATACGGATACATCCCCTATCTTGCGCAAGGAAGATGGGGCACCCCCTTTTAGTACGCCACAACGGCGCAAGGCAGAGAGTGAATTCGGGCTGAAGTTTTGGGGTGTCGGTCACGTCGGAGTTTGCTAATACGGCAGTTTGTTTCTCCAGCATCCTGCTACGGTGCCTCTGGAGAACATGTAGTTTCGGGCACACGATACTGAAGCCAAGCAAGCACTGTCGATGATGGCGAGCGCAGGATGTGAAAGTGGTTGATGGCCTTTGATTCAGAAGTAGAACTACCTGACTTGGACAGCTTCATCTTACGTTCAGCTTCTGTAGGTCACAAGAAAGATCACATGTGAGCCCTACATATTTCTAAGGTAATCTTGCACTTTCCTCTGGCACCTTGGTACACCCCTTGGAATTACCTCCCCCCTCGGGAACTTTTCTTGAACAAAGCTGACGTCTGATGAGGCTTTCCAAGACCAAGGTGCCAAGTGCAAAGCCGGGCTGGCTATTTTGGCCAGGGTGGGCTCTGGTTCTTTCTTTCTGGAAAATTCTCAAGAAAAGAACCCAGGACTACTTATATATAGAGCCTTCACCACTCCGAACCGCTAAGCTGGATTCCTAAACTTGACAGCCGCACCTGGAGGTTGATGTTCCTCAGATCTACCCCTGAGCACGCTGCTGCTGTGTATAGGGCATTTGTAGGTCATGGGTGAGGGATCCCATCTGGGTATTTCCGAAGATGCTCCCATAGACTATTAGAATCCCAAATAAGGATGCCCCATCATCCCCTTACACTGCCAACATCTCCTTTGGAGTCCTACAGCCCCCTTTTTGAGAAACTCCCATGTCAGATCCAATCGAGCAGTGAGCAGGCGCCCTGCAGTCCGCCGTCATCCTTAGCGCAGACACCCTGTCCAGGTCCAGGGACTTTCAAAAACAGGGTTGCTTTCCTACAACATTGGAGACACGAGGGTATGTAGTGGGATATTAGCGGCATTCACGTTTAGGGCTCGTTCTGATGCATCTTGTCAGTGGCGTTGCCAAATTTCGGCATGGTAAGGTTTTGCTTTTAGAGGATGTCTGTCTATCCGTATGGTTTTCCCAATGTGAAGAGGGGTTCCAGAAATTTCAGGAGCAATCGCCAGGTGCAGGCTTCAGGGCCACAAGCATTCACGCGGTAAGATGCAGAAGATACAATTTCTACTGTTGAAGCCTGAATAATTACCAATATGGTGTTCCTAGATTCCTGGTGTACCTCAACTAGAGCTCAACAATGATACTGGTAATTACATGGGCCCCCAGCAATATCCCCTGTCACCTTCAAGCCTTCAACCCATCCCCCCTGGAACCCGACCAGTCAAAACCTGAAGCCTCAACCCTTATCCCCTGAACCCCCACACCTCAAAGAATAAAAACACCCAAGCCTATGGGAGGACCATGGGTTATGGAGACTCCCTCGCCGATGAACTGCTCCTCCCATGCTCAATTTGCCGGCTTCCCTGGGCTCAGGCTTTTGAATGCTTTTCTGTGCACAGCTTTCTCCTAGTGTTCCGCAAATCACGGGTTTGTTCTTGGCGGTCCCTGTGACTATGCTATGCCCCTTTCTTTAGGGCCCGTGACGGGACTTGACTATCCCATCTTTGATACATCCCATTTAAGCGGCAGTTGTGTTTATATTTTGAGCGCACTTCCTCATCCTCTTAGAGCCATTCGGCTAGAAGAAGAACTGAAGAAGCCCATCTGAGCAGTCAAGCCTTGTCAGATCTTCAGGAGGGCATATACGGAGACTATGCCTCAGCGCGTGGGCCGCGTTAAAGGAGGAATTCAGGAAACATGCAGGTGGTGCCCGCAGATCAGAGCACAAGGGCAAATGCCCATGAATCTAATATTTCTATTTTCAGTCGACTCATTTTCAGTTGGTAGGCAGAGTGAAAGATGGCAAACATTTGCAATGATGGTAGTTTCCATTTTCTTTTCCATTATCCCTACTATAACCCCTACATAGCCCTATATAACCGCTATATAACCCCTATACAACCCTTATGTAACCCCTATATAACCCTTGTATAATCCCAGTCTAACCCTCGCATATTCCGCAGTAGTCGCTGAGCCAAGCCCGAAGAGCGCCCGCCCAATCAAGTTGACGATCATCACCCACCTTGAGCGGTCCACAGCCCAACTAGGAGGGTCCCCTCTGACTCACGACTACGGTCCCCGAAATTCTGTCTGCGAGGCCCAAAATTCACCCCCGA